CTCTTGACCTCACCTTCTTTCTCCCTGCATTCAGTTTGGCTTTCCCACCTAGGTATATTCTGCCCTGCCATAGGCCAAAGCGACTTTATTCATCAACCAATAAAAGCAAGACCCCCATTCACTATATACAGAAGGGCGTCCCACATCACGGTAACCTCCTGATGTGGAGGTCTATGTGACTATGTACAGGACATCTTTGTAGGAAACACACACAAAGAGTATTTCAGAGTGACCAGGCATATTTCAGCACTGTGGTCTTAAATGGTTCAAGGGAAAAGTACTTTTTAGAATTCTTCTAACTATCCTGTGGCTTAAGAAAACTCACGACAGTCTTCTGTAGCCCAGGCTGGCCATGAATTCACTACATAGCTGAGAACAACCATGAACTTCTCATCTGGCCTCTACCTCCTGAGTGCTAGGATGACAGGCATACACCACCACATCTAGTGCTGGAGACTGAACCAAGAATTTGTACAGGCTAGGCAAACATTCTAACAATTGAGCTACACCCCCCAACCCTAAGACTGTTTTAAAATAAAGGCATCCAATAATTAAAAATTACACTTGGCATATTTAAGTAATCCCTACTAAGGAATGAAACTTATCCTTGCTTAACAATCTTTGCATCACTAAGTTGGTCCATGGTAAATATTCCTAAAAGCTAATGAGACTATTGGGAACAAGGCAAGTCTATTGGATTATTTATCTTTCATTCTCCTCATCCCAATTCTCTCGCAGCAGAGTCAGCGTTTGTCTCTGTCTCTTTCTGTGTGCCTGTGTCTGTGATGGCAGCAACAAGAACTAATAACAATGCCCAAGATGCAAAGTGCCTGGCAGGGAATAGTGGTTTTCAACTCCATTTTGTTGTGGCCAGCAATACTGTATAATGTAATGTATAGATACACATATACTGCATGTAATGTATAGATACACATATACACTGTCTTTCAAACAGCTTGTGCTAATATAAATGCTTGTTGGCAGTGTAAATTTGTTCTGGATTCATTCAGTTTTATTTCATTGATTTCTTATTTGCAGATGAACCCCAAATGACCTAGAATGTTAAATCTATTAAGCAATAAAGCTAGAAATTAAGTGTCTCTGAAAAAGACATATAAGTATAGTACTCAAGATTGTAGGCAAAATGCAGCAAAAACCAAACAGAAAACTGAACTGCTCTGAGACTCAACAGCCATATAAAATTAAAGAAGTTAAAGCAGTATAAACTCAGGTAGGATACATGCTGGATGCCCAAAGGCACAAAATAAAAAGTACAGAGGATCAGGACATCTCATAAACTGAGTCACATAAATGGCCAAATTTCCAACTGTCTAAATAAGGCGTCACTCTCAGCACACTCACAGCCAGATTCTCCATTTCTCAGGTAATAAATAGGAACCAAAATGTGAGGAGAGCTGCTTCCCCAGCTGCATGTTCTTTCCTGCCCTCTGTCTCTCCAGCCCACAGCCCTCGCCATGTAGAAACGAACCAGCACACTGTGCAGACCTTCCTAGCTATGCAGCACACTCCTTGACCTTGGGAGATCTGGTATAGGGAGGGAAGTCTACCTACATCTCATGGTGCCTGCTGTATGTGATTTGTGCTATGACTAATCAACTAAGCACTTATACACATATTGTCAACATGAGGCATTAATACATGCCCTTTTAACAGATGAGAAAACAGAGGGTAAATAACTTACCACAAGTACACAGCTAGTTTGTAATAGCTTCAACGTGACTTCTGGGTTCATGCATCTAATTAGTGTACCACACTGTCTTCCTAAACTCTTTATTCTTTTTTAAACTCAACACCACAGTCCCCACTACAACACATACACATAGACAACGAATTATAAACTGGCTACTTTTCTCCTTAAGAATCAGTGATCATGTATCTTCTAGTCACAAAAATATTTGAAGAGTAGTTTATTTGTAGTGCCCTAATTCTCTCAACAGTCCCAAATCCTTCAAATGTTTCATGCTCCTCATAAGGCATCGACTGAAGCTCTCCTCACCATTCCTTGTCCCCATCCACTCCTCTCTAAGAGCAACATTAAGAATGGAACATGTGCCTAACTGGCAAAAAAAAAAAGGGAGTGAGACCATCATTGCATTTCATTCTTAACATCTATTAAGGGAGACTTCAGTTTACAGCCATAAAAATCTGATGACTCTATTATGTAAGGTATCAATTCAGATTCTGATAACTTAGTCACAGGCACGGCTAAGCCACTCCTCACCCATTCTACATTACCAATAATGAGCTTAGTACTTCGGCCACAGCCATAAAAACCCAGTCAACTAGGAGATGCCGCCGAAGACCTCCTAGGAACAAGCTGTTTTCAAGCAACTCTTGCAGTCTCAGTGAACTAATTACTAAAGGTGTGCTATTATTAAAGAGGCAAGACTGTCATTTTGGGTAGACACACACACACACACACACACACACACACACACACACATACACACCTGCTCACTATATTGTATACTGACACAGAAACTACTTATTCCTCACCAACCATAAGATCACATTCTTTTAAAGGGAATTCTGGCATGTTTACTTTTTCTTCACTGCAACTGATTAAAGTAATTTCAAGTCACTTCTCCTAAAAATTTTCTTCCTAAAAAGGCCCAAGGAATGGGGGTACTAGCCATGCACCCCCAAAGGAGAAAAAAGAAAACAGAGTAATATATAAACCAAACCCGTAAGCCCCATACAACAGTGAATGACAAGAACACAACCAGAGTTCTGTGCTAAGTTCTGAAATTAGCAACACTGAGCCTAAAGGAGTCTGAGATTCAGTGGAATAAACAAAGATGCTTTAAAACTGCATCCATATGTTACACATCCAAAATAATCAGGATACAATCTAGAGGCTTACACACCAAACTGTCATCACCTCCAAGGAGTGAACGGGAAATACAGATGACTTTTTAATTTGTATAAAGGTGATTAAAAAAAAAAGAAAAAATTTAAAGGGACTATATTCCTTATATAAGAAAAGACATAGACACATTATTTCTATGGGACTTAGGGTGATCAGGAGTCTATGATACCATTTTATAAATGCACCACACACACACGCACATAATTAACATTTGGGAAACCACAGTTTATAGTCAAAGCTAGGATACTCAGGGGAATGAAACTGGACACTTTAATAACTACTCAGGGAAACCTACCAACTGGGACAAACCCAAGCAAGCCTGTAAGTATAGACCTACGACTACTAGATACAACTATGAAAGCCATCTGCTTTACAATAAGGGGGAAAGGGAGCTTGAAATTTCCATCCGATGTGCAGGGAATCACGGAGTTGGCATGGCCTCGCTGTCCTGAGAAGCATGCATCATAGGTCTTTCAAGGTAGAGTCCATGGCTCCTGGGGCACTATGTGCCTTTCAGTGCCTTTCAGTTTCAGGGAGAGACTGAGACACTCCCTCAGGCAATGAAGGATTCAGATTGCTAGTATATCGTTGAATTCCCTAGAAGTCAGTGAAGCATACAGAACAGTGGTTCCCAATCTTCCTAATACTGTGACCTTTTAATACAGTTCCTGTTGTGGTGACCCCAAATCATAAAATTTAATTATTTTCGTTGCTACTTCTGGCCTCTACACACATACCACATGCACACACACACGCACGCACATGTACTCTTACCTGAACACTTAAACATACATGTGCACAAGCACACACAAGAAACAAGGAACTAAGAGACAAAACAAGTAAGATGAAGTATCAAATCTGACTCCAGAGCGGGTAGTCCCAAATTGATAGCTAGTCAATAAGAATAAACATTTTAGGGCTTAAATTCTCCCTGCTTCTTCTCCTGAAGTATGGAGTTTATGTCAACTATTTTCCAAATACACAGTATTTGTGAAAATTTAGTTTTTCAGGGGCCATTTTAAAGTTTCCTCAAGAAAGCCACATTGCTCTGGGGTTAGATTTATTAGTTTTCTTCTGGAATTTGTTTTGATGAAGCAGTAGGCATTGGATCTCACTGGAGTTGGATTAAAAGTGAATGGAAGAGCGGCTGGAGAGATGGTTTAACCAGCAAGAGCACTGTCTACTCTTCCAGAGGAAAAGGACTCAACTCCCAGCATCCTCATGGTGGTTTACAACTGACTATATCTCCAAGTTCCAAGGGATCAGATGCCCTCTTCTGGCCTCTTCAAGCATCAGGCAAGAATGCAGTACAAAGACATACATACAGGCAAAACCCACACATTAATAAATAATATATATTTAATGAATGGATGAAGTCAAGCACTATGGCACACACACCTTTAATCCCAGCACTCGGGAGGCAGAGACAGGCAGATCTCTTAAGTTCAGGGCCAACTTGGTCTATAGAGGGAGTTCAGGACAGCCAGTGCTACACAGAGAAACCCTGTCTTTAAAAACAAAAAAACCAAAACCGATATAGACAGACAGACAGACAGATAAATAAAGTGGATGGACAGGCTGGGGATGAAGCTCAGAGATAAAATGTTTTCTAACATGAAGGACCTGGATTCAACCACCTCACAGAAGAGGGTGACAAATATGAATGAATGGAGAAAATGGAACACAAAGTCTCAGCTTCTGGGACTTGTCTGGGATGGAGTTTACTTGATACTCTCTATCTCCTTCCAGAGCCCTATACACAGGCACGATGTCAATAGTGAAGTCCTCCCATCAAAGTACTTCCTAAGGATCCCTAACACGAGCACACCTCTGCACACCATGAACAGACGAGCCAGGGAGATAGCGCCACCTGCTCCTTCACTGCCAGCAAATTTCACCAATAAGCTTGACTTTATATTCACACAAACAGCCTATATCCTCATAGAAGATATAACTATTCCATGACCTGCTTTAACAAGCCCAGTAACTCTCACCCTCTAAATAAATTCTCTAATGTCATCATATTCAAAAGCAATTATAAACATTTTCAAAAACAACGACTTTTAAACTTTTACAGTATATGCACTATGTATAAATATAAATAACTTACTTGGCAATCCTCAGTTTCCCAACTTCACCTCTTCCAGGGGCTTTAGCCCATTGCTGGGACAAATATTTAGGAACCTGAAATAAAGCAAAACATTTCACAGATGATGATTAGGGACACCCAAAGCTCATATACCTTCCCGTAGGTTACACACTTAGGAAATGATGAGATAGGATTCAAGGTCAAGCCACTTCAAGAGTCTACACGTCAAGTACTATGTTCTCAACTATACAAATACTGTATCTAAAACTAGATAAAGAAGTCACCAGAGGTTAAATTCTAAGAAGGAAAAGTGGAATGATATATTAATTATCTACTATATAATCTATATAATCTGACTCTTTTCTTCAAAGCAGTTTAGAGCCTGAAGTCAGTGCACACCTTTAAGGCTCTCCTGTTCTGAGAAGCAAAGGAAAGGCTAATGTGCTGTGTGGAGTAAACACTCAAGGAGCACCAGCTGCCATCACTATTTCTCATAGCAATCTTGGAATAACATCATGAACGAACACACAACTAAGATATAGGTGTCAGGGCTAGAAAGGGAGGAAAAAAATCTAGTAAGATTTCATTACTGGGGACAGTACCTTGACTACAGTTAAAGTTAAAAATCAAAGGGGCAAAAAGACTGACTGTGCTTATTCAATTCTGCGTATAGTCATCACATTAATAACTTACGCCAGACAGTAAGCCTAGGCTGGAAAAGAGGAAGGCAGGAAGACAACTCTAAGACATCATGCTAGAAATTCTACAGCCAGCTGGCAATGAGGGCACAGTTCTGTAATCCCAGCACTCTGGTGACAGAGGCAGGCAGATTTCTGTGAGTTTGAGGCCAGCCTGGTCTACAGAGAGAGTTCTAGCACATCTTTCAAAGCACCACAGATAAACCCTGTCTTGAAAAACCGAAAAGAAAAGAAAGAAATTCTACACCTATCATCCATTCATCTTCTAAATCACTCTGCAAACTCACAAGCACTCTCCCTAGTCTACAGACGTAAAAACTGACCCAAATGATTCACTAGGGCTAGAGACACAACTCAACAATAAAAGTAGGTGAGACTGTGTACAGTGTTAGCTCAAAAACCATATGGATTTTTAAAATTTTAAAGTTTGAAAGGGGCTGAAGAGATGGCTCAGCATTAAAAGCACTGGCTGCTCTTCCAGATGTCCTAGGTTCTATTCCCAGCACCTACATGGTGGCTCACAACCGACTACAACTGTAGTCCCTGGGGATCCAAGGCCCTTGCCTGGCCTCTTTCTGGGTCTTACTATGTTCCTGGCCAGCCTGGAACTCATTATGTAAATGAGGCTGGCCTCTCAAGCTCTCAGATTAAAGGTGTGCACCACCACAGCATTAAGGTAGCTTTGCGTTATAGCAAAAATATAAAAGAAGCTGCCTTTAAGGCCAGCTTGGGCTACACAGTGAGTTCCAGGTCAGTATGGACTACAGAAAGGGAAGAGAGGGAGGGAAGGAGAAAAGGAGGAAGGAAAAGAATGGGTTCTTTTCTCCTGTTACTTAACAAGACTGTGCTCTAGTACCTGCATTAATCAGACTTTTGGGTCCTGTGACCAAATACCTGACAGACACAATTTTAAAGTTACTTTTTGTGCTATCATGGTGGGAAAAGCAAGGAAGAACACTGCCACTCACACCATGATGGCCAAGATACAGAGAATCTTGGAAGGGCCAGGACAAAACAGCCCAGAGAACAGACAGACCGCCAGGATCTTCTTCTTCCAACTAGGCCACCACTTCACTACGTTTCACCACTTCACAGAAGAGTCAAACTATGAATCCATCAAAGGAGTAATTAATGCATTAATTAGATCACAGCCCTCATGACCTACTTGTCTCTACAAACACACCCAGAGGTGTGCTTTGCTAACCTCTCAGGCTCTTAATCCAATGAAACCGACAAGACTACCACCCACCCATTTTAGTGTGTGTCTCTCTGAAGTCTTTCTGATTTTTTATATTGTGGCTATCAGTGACCAAGTCCTTGCTCATGGCTCACTTGGTGGCAGCTGAACGAAGGACAACCCATGCACAGAGGACAATTCCCACCTCCTCTAACAAAGAGCAGGCACACATTTACAGAGGAAGGTGGTGGGCGGGGATAGAGAGGTGTCTGTCACCAAAATTCAGGCAACTTTTACAGAACAGGTTTCCCTAATTCTGCAGGCTCCATCAGCACATACCTATGATTGTGCAAGAACATCCAGTTTGTTTCCAGTTACCATTTCCTCCAAATTGTTCTACAGGAGGTCAAACCTACTATTTTCTGGATAGTTTTGCAACCCTACCTGAAACTAAAACCAGGACATCTTCATTTCATGAAATGACAATCTCAAACTATGACTTCAATCTTTACTTATACCACCGTCTGATCTAGGGCATGCATTTTCAAATCTCCATTTCTGTTCCTGCTGTCACACTACTGCACACCCACCCAAACCCTGTAAGGCAAACATTTACTGAGTATTTGCCATACTCCAGATACAAAAGCATCACCTCAAGTCCCATCATCTTCGCAAGCTCTTCCCTTCTGTGTACCAGGGAGATCTCCATAATGACAGTCTCTCGTCTTAACCAACAGTTGGAGACAGAAAAGCCCATTTTCTCAAAGTGTTGAAGTTATGTCTACACAGCTGGAACATACAACAAATCAGAGCGAAAACGAAGGCTGAAGAATGAGAGATCTTGTATTCGGTACGACATATTGGAATAGTCAAACACCAATCAGAGTGCAAAGAAAGTGACTTTCTAGAGGTGGAGGCGGTAATCAACATTGAACACAGGCACAAAGAATCTCTAGAAACTGTGCTAAGTGCTTTTAAGAATTTAACAGTCTGACGTGCTGGCAAATGATGAGTTGTTTCAGAGATGTGGACAGAAAGGAACACTACTGACTTAATGAGAACTCAGCCATATAATTAAAACATTGACATTCATTATAGAGATACATTTACAAACCAAAAGTTCCTTTGAATTTGGGAAACTTTCGTGATTATTTAGAATCGGCTTTTTAAAATGAAATTCCCCAAAGAGTACCTCCCTCCCCGTTTGCAAAGGTAACCCAAAGAAATGATGCCCACTAGGGCAAACAAAGTCTATCGTGACCATAACAAATATTTCCTGATGTTTAACTTCATGAGGCCTAAACTTGCTCTTTAAAAATACTAAGTCAATAATAGTAATTATAATAATAAAAGACTCAAAAAAATAAAATAAAAATACTAAGTCTGACGGGCAGTGGTGGCACACGCCTTTAATCCCAGCACTCAGAGGCAGAGACAGATGGATCTCTGTGAGTTCGGGGCCAGCCTAGTCTACAGATAGAGTTCCAGGGCAGCCAACGCTGTTGTTACACAGAGAAACCCTGTCTGGAAAAACCAAAACAAACAAACAAAAAACCAAAAAACAAAAAATAATAAGTCCAACAGCTCCTCCTTCCTAAATTTGGAGCTTCTCAGAACTTACAAGAGCTCCATCAGGATTACCAGCCCAGGGAACACAACAACCGTGTACACGGGCAGGGGTCTACATCTCGAGTTCCAGGCCAGCTAGGGCTACATAGTGGGATTCTGTTTCAAAAAACAAAAGTACACAGGGTCCAATTCCACTTTGTGACCCAGGAAACTGTACTCAACTAATTTATACAGACCCGTGACTAAAGTCAACTTTACCCAAAAGACGCCTCCGGCCTGGGGTCCAGTGGACCGCCCCCTCTGGGAGCATCAGGACGGTAAGGAGAGTTCCGCGCCGGGCGAAGGGAAATAAGAGATTAGCTGAAAGACGCCCCGCGTCCCTAAAGTAACTTCTCTAACCTGGAAACGGACGCGACAGCGACCGTCTTCTCGGGGCAGGGGGACCCAGAACTTTCGAACACGGGGGAGCGGCGGGGGGATGCGCCCCGCGGGGCTCGCGGCTCACCTTCACCAGCCACACGCCGGTGTTCTGTTTGGCACCGGTCAGATCGAGTTCCCCGCGCTCCGCCATGAGTTCGTCGCGTGCAGGGGCGTGCGCGCACGAGCGGTGGCCCCGAGCTGCAGGGCGGAGAGCGACGGAGCAGAGCCGACTGCAGGAGCCGGAGGACCGCCTAGAACCGGCGTGGCTCACCGGCTGGGAAACCAGGAACTTGAGGAAAAGAGCACACCGCTGAGCCCGGAACTGCGCCTGCGCACGGCAACGTCAGGACGGCGCGCCGCGAGAGACAAATTTTCTGTTTCGGCAACTTCTTAGGTGGGCGTGACTTCTGGCCGGGTGTAACCCAATGATGGAAGTGAGGGAAAGGAAGAGCTAAATCCCCGACCAGGGCATTAAACGACGAACCTCGAATAACTGATGAAAAAGTACAGAATTGGAAAAACTATGGTTTAGACAGACAAAAGATGTATGTATTTACCCAACTGAAGAGGCAACAGATTTTAAGGACAGGCTCAGGGGTATAAAGTCACATTCTTGGCCCAACATCGTTGGCACAAGTGGGCACTAAAGTAGAAATGAATATACTGGACACATGTCATGTCGAGACCTGAAGATCAAAATCTTCTGATTGTGCAATCAGAATACACTCTTTCAGACGCCAAAACCAAAATACCATCTAAGTGGATCAGTAAGACCCAACATGTAAGAAAGAAATGTGATTATGTAACTGCCCTGTTTCCACAGTTTTCCTCTCCCGCTTGCCTTTGGAATGAAATTCTGCTGTCTGCTTCAACTGAGTCTTTCCCAGTTGAGTTTTGATCCTTCTGCCCCCAGTATTCCATACACCTATCACACCAATCCCGTCTACCTGCTTGAAGACTCCAGGACCTTCCCCGTCCCATTTCAGAGCCCCTTTGAAACCAATTCTGTTGCCTTAGATATCCTATTTTCCCTTTACTTTGCTCTGACCCTGTCCTTTAGCTGGCAAACTTCTACTTATGAAAAAAGACTAATGGAAATGTTACTTCCTGAGAGAGTCCCCCAGAGGAAGCTCTGTTTCTCAATTTCGCAGTGTGTGATATACTTAAACACTGTTCCATGAGATGCATGCTTACATGCCTGCCTTTGTTTTCTAGACTGCTAACAAAACTGCTCCTAGACAAAAATATGCTTTCCCCTCAGATTTACTGAAGCATAATGGGTGAATACGAAATGGTGCTTTATCCATTTTATATGCACAACATCCAGTGTTGACATCCTGTGGGATGTCAGCAGGCTTTGGTTGATTGAACATTTGCTGAAGAGAAACAAACAGTAAGGTATTGGAAGAATGGCAAGTGATTTATTGAATCACACACCAGAGTGATGCGCAAAATTGCAGAAAGTCTATATCTGTGCAGCATAAGGTCCGGGAAAACTGTCAGTTCTCTGAGATCTGCTGGCAAAAGTAATGTGATGGGAAAGACCAGGCACGCACTGAAAAGGGAGGTTGCCTTGTCTTATAACAGCTTGGGAACAGGCCTAAAGTGTATAAAAGGCAAGCATATGAGAACTGCTTTAGGCCTGGTGCAAGTAGAAGGAATACATACAAATGGGAGACTGTAAAAGAAAGAAAATAAGGGAGTCTGGCATGCCCCCAGAATGAGTTTAAAGATTGGGTGTAGGCACTTGTACTGAACCAGGTAAACGAAGCACCTGTGATGCACTGCCCAACATACAGAGCTCACGACAAGATATGGTGCTTTGAATGAGATGCCTAAGGAGTCATAGACCAGGCACTTGAATGCTTGGTCCCCAGTTGGGGGCTGTCTGGAGAGGTTTGGGAAGAGTGCCATTGCTGGAGTAAGTATGTCATTTGGGACAGATGTTGCGGTTTCAAAAGATTCACAGCATTTTGAGTGCACCTTTTCAACTTCCTGCTTGCAGTTTGAGCTGTGAGCCCCCAGCTCTCAAATGCCAGCTCCAGTCACAATGTCTGCCAACTGCTGTTTCCACCATTATGGATTCTAACCTTCCAGAACTGTAAAGTCAAATATAGATGAAGCAGAAGAAAATGACCTAAAAAATAACTTCAGGAGAATGTTTGAAACTCTTAAAGAGGAAATGAGAAATTTCCTCAAAGAAATGGAGGAAAAGACAAACAAAAAATTGGAAGACATCAGCAAATCCCTTAAAGAAAACCAAGAAAAAGCAATCAAACATATTATTCAAGACTTGAAAACTGAAATAGAGAAAATAAATAAAACACAAGCCGAGGGGATTATAAAAACAGAAATCTTGAGAAAATGATCAGGAGTCACAAACACAAACATTAACAGCAGAATAAAAGAGATGGAAGAGAGAATCTCAAGCGCTGAAGATACAATAGAGGAAATAGACTCATAAGTTAAAGAAAACATTAAACCTAACAAAAGCTTAACCCAAAATATCAAGGAAATATGGGATACCAGGAAAAGACTAAACCTAAGAATAATAGGTATAGAAGAAGGAGAAGAAGTTCAGCTCAAAAGCACAGAAAATATATTTAGCAAAATCTTAGAAGAAAACTTTCCCAACCTAAAGAAAGATATGTTTATGAAGATATAAGAAGATTACAGAACACCAAACAGACTGGATCAAAAAGAAAAGTCCCCTTGCCACATAATCAAAACACTAAACATATAGAATAAAGAAAGAATATTAAGAGCTGCAAAGGAAAAAGGCCAAGTAACATATAAAGGCAGACCTGTCAGAATCATACCTGACTTCTCATTGGAGACAATAAAAGCCAGAAGGTAGTAGTCAAGTGTTATGCAGACATTAAGAGACCACAGATACCAGCCCAGACTATTATACCCAGCAAAACTTTCAATCACCATAGAAGGACAAAACAAGATATTCCATGAGATTTAACCAATACCTAGCCACAAACCAAGCCCTACACAAAATACTAGAAGGAAAACTCCAACCCAAGGAAGTTGGCTACATCAACAAAAACACAGACAATTGATGGTCTCATGGCATCAAATTCCAAAGAGGGAAAAACACACAAATTAACATAATCAACAATGAAAACTAAATTAACAGGAGATAGCAATCACTAATTATTAATATCCCTTAATATAAATGGACTCAACTCACCTATAAAAAGACACAAGCTAACAGACTTGTTACAAAAACAGAATCCATCCTTCTGCTGCCTACAAGAAACACATCTCAACCTCAAAGACAGACATCGCCTCAGAGTAAAGGGTTGGGGGAAAAAATCTTAATCAAATGGACCTAAGAAACAAGCTGGTGTAGCTATCTTAATATCTAGCAAAATAGACTTCAAACTAAAATCAGACAAGTAAGGACATTTCATATTAGTCACAGAAAAAATCCATCAAGAGGAAATCTCAATACTGAGCATCTACGCTTCAAATACAAGGGCATCCTCATATGTAAAAGAAACACTGCTAAAGCTTAAATCATACATTAAACCCCACACACTAATAGTGGAAGACTTCAACACTCCACTCTCACCACTGGACAGGTCAGTCAGACAAAAAATGAACAGAGAAATAAGAGAACTAACAGATGTTATGACTCAAATAGACTTAACAGACATCTATAGAATATTCCATACAAACAGAAAAGAATATACCTTCTTCTCAGCACCTCATGGAACCTTCTCAAAAAATGATCATATACTCGGTAACAAATACAAAAAAATTTCAATAACCCCATGTATCTTATCATATCACCATGATTTAAAACTAGAATTCAACAGCAATACTAATTCCAGGAAGCCCACAAACACATGGAAATTAATGCTCACCTAAATCATCAATGAATCAAGGAAGAAATAAAGGGAGAAATTAAAGTCTTTCTAAAAATCAATGAAAATGACCACACAACATACCCAAATTTATGGGGCACAATGAAAGCAGTGTTAAGAAAGTTTATAGCACTAAATGCCTACATAAAGAAGCTGGAAAAATTTCATACTCGTGAATTAACAAAACATTTGGAATCTTTAGAACAAAAAGAAGCAAACTCACCCAAGAGAACTAGATGTCAGGAAACAATCAAATTGAGAGATGAAATCAAGAAAATAGGAACAAAGAAAACAATACAAAGAATCAATGAGACAAAGAGTAGGTTCTTCGAGAAAATCAACAAAATAGACAAACCTTTATACAAACTAACCAAAAGGCAGCTGGAGAATATCCAAATTAACAAAATCAGAAATGGAAAAGGGGACATAATGACAGACACGGAGGAAATACAGAAAATCATCAGGTCATGTTTCGAAAACCTGTACTCCACAAAATCAGAAAACTTAAAGGAAATGGACAACATTCTGGATAAATATCTCTTACCAAAATTAAAACAATACTATGTAGGACCCTCACCCCTTATTCTCAAAGGGACGAGAAGAAATTTCCTAGCAGAATGTTTTTGGCCTTCCCATCTCACCCAGGAGATTCTGAGCAATAGGTCACTTAGCTCAGCCCAACCAGCCACCTAGTACAGGCTGATAAAGATGGCCTAACTCAGAAACAGTGGCCTTGCTCTAAGAACAAGGAAAAAGTTGACTTAGTAGGACAGGAGGGAGCAAAAGTCCTTTCACCTATGCCAAAGCAGCTTCAAAAAGCCTCTTTTAGTTATGCCTTTAAAAGCTTACCCCACAGAGGAGACACAATTCCTCTCTCTACCTCGCTGCAATGGGATTTGGAAACAGGGGTTCCAAACATGTTCATATTATGCTGACTAAACCTTGCTTATTACAGTCTGGGCCTCTCTGGTGGTCTCTCTCTGGGGATTGTAATCTGGGCACAAAAACCAGATCAGCAAATTAAATAGACCTATAACTGCTGAAGAAATAGAAACAGTCATCAAAAGTCTCACAATCAAAAAAAGCCCAGGACCAGATGGTTTCAGTTCAGAATTCTACAAGATTTTCAAAGAGCTAATACCAATACTCCTCAAGTTGTTCCACACAATAGAAACAGAGAGAACATTGTCAAACTCTTTTTGTGAGGCTACAATTACCCTGATACCCAAACCACATAAAGACATTATTGAGAGATCCTCACCCCTTATTTTCAAAGGGACAAGAATTTCCTAGCAAAATGTTTTAAAATTAGAAACACAGAGCTTTCCTTTCCCACTCCCACCCTGGAGATTCCAAGCACAAGGTCACTTAGCCAGCCAGCCGCATGGTGATAACAAGCAAAACAAGGAGAAAGCTGACTTAGCAGGATGGGAG